GCCAGACAGTGTCTGCCTTGATCAGCCCCCTCACCTCTCAAAGGCGGCAAACGCTCACGGGGCTATTAAACCCGTCCCTGCTGTCACCCTGCTCTTTGGGCAATGACAACTCGAACATAGCAAGTTACCTATAGACAGCACTCCGGCCTCACCCAGGAGTCCAACGCCCACTGCTTAGGATTGGATTTCCTGCTCCTCACGAGCCAGCCACGGTCCCATGGCGCTCAGATGCCAACCAGGAGAGAATTCACATGGGCCTGACAGCTTCCAGGAGACTGGCCGTGCCTGCGTGATGTCACAGAGGCTGCGGGGTTGGGGGGGGGAGGTGGAGCAGCCCCTCCCTGGGGAAGCCCGGCTGTCTCGCAGGACCCTTTGCAGGACGGGGCCAGCCCCGTCCCTCGTCCACATGCTGACCGGCCTGGCCAGGCGGCCGCCCTCGGCCTCCCCCACCCAGCTCTTACCCTGAGGAGACTCATGGTCTGGAACACCAGGCCCAGCTCATGGTCCCCACCTTCTAGAAAAGACGGGCTTTGGGGGTTCGATAGCGGGAGGGACGCTCAGCCCAGGAAAAGGCAGGTGCTCGCCAACCTTTCATGGTGTGCAGGTTCACGGACCTCCAGGAAGCACACCTTGCCGAGTGGGTGCCACGCCTCATGGCCTGAAACCGAGACACGCCCCCTGCCCTTGGGGCCCGTGGTCCAGAGGAAGTGTCCCTGGTGACACGGTGGCATGGGGCTGAGCCGCCAGCTGACACACGTGATCACACCCGACGCGTGAGGGGCACAGGGGGTGGCCTTCATGTCACACCACTGCTGACAGTGTTCGCAGGTGGAGAAACAGGCCCAGGAGGCAGGAAAGTCACCCGCGGTGCCGAGTCAGCAGCAGGAGTGCAGAGTTCTGAGTGTGGCGGGGTGTCCCGTCCTGTCACAGACATTCCCGCTCTCCTCCCCTGGTTCCCTCCTGCAGCCCCATCCCTCCCTGACGAAACGGAGCCACCTGGAGAGGCCGGCTCCCAGGACGCCCCCAGGAGCCTGCCCGGCCCCTCACCCTCACCCACACCCACTGCGGAGGCGCCCAGAACCACGGGGCCCTCAGGTCCCATTGGCACCAGGCTCTTTTCCTGGTGAGAAGACAGAAACCACGCCCTGTGCCTCCTTACAGAGCCGACTGCGCCTTAATAAATTCACAGATGTGCTTCTATCCCCCTGTTCCTGCCACCGTGACCTTTCCCCCACCTGGTAGCGAGCATGCTCTGCCTACGATAAGTCACAACACTGCACAACGCAGGGGCCTGTTTCCACCCTTCAGTGTCGCTAACCCTGGCCGGGTGCAGGGGACAGCCTGGCGACAGGAGGCCCAGGGGCTGGCGAGGGCTCCTGAAGTCGACATGCATCAGAATCACATGAGGGTTCTGACTGTGCGGACCTGAGCGGGGGCCTGAGACTCCAGGTTTGTCCCAGCAGCAGATGAGGCTGGTGTGCTGGTCCTTGCACTACAGCTGGAGAGCCCGCTCCTACACGCTACACTGTCCAGGAGGGCAGCCTCCAGCTCCTTGAAATTAAATCTAAAGTGAAAAAGTTAAATAAAATTAAAAACTCAGGTCCTCTGTCTCACTCGCTAAATTCCACGTGCAGTGTTCTGCTGACGGCTCTGTGGGGAGGCAAGCCAAGCAGAGCAGTGACCCCGGGGCAGTGGCTGCGGGAGGTCAGGTAGGAGCACCCTGCAGACCTGAGCCCAAGGGCCACGCTGCCCCTGTCGTCCTGGGCTCCTCCCAA